CAGGCAAATAAGCTGCTTTTTATAGGCCAGCTGTTTCATTGGTGTGTGTAAAAATAATGCTTTAAAGAACTGCAAGTCAGCCAAAGGTTTCTGTTCTCCACATTGGGTAGGATAATTCCTTCAGCACTGTGACTAATGAAATTGGTAGTATTTTTATTACTTTGTTAAAGAGGCATCAAACTTTATTTTGCCTATCTGTAGTCTGCTTTCTGGGCCTTGCAGGTCTTGGAAAGATTTGGAGTGTGCAACAATGCTGAGACAAGGCTTCTGTGACAGGTAGTTATCTTTCCTACAGAAACAACTGAAACTGATTTTTTTTTTTTCCTTGTCACAGAACAGCAATTAAAATGGCTTGAAAATTTTGAATCTCAGCATAAATTGAAGATTGTAAGAAGTCTTCCACTTTGTTGTCTGTTTGTGGGAGGTTAGGTACTAGGAAGGCTTGTGAAATACTTATTTTGTTTATACAACTGAAAGTTAGAAAATGTGTAAAATGTTTTCCAGGCTTCCAGCTGGTAGGGACTAAATAAGAGAAGACAAAATTATAAGGAAGGCCTTAAACCCTATTTTGACCTTAAAAGGCTTGGAGAACTAGGAGCTTGCATGAAGTATGGGACTCTGGAGACCCTTTCTTGGTGAAATAGGACCTCTGCCAAGGGCTCCAGCAGGGAGAATGGCAGGAGGATGTAGCAGGAGGGAAGGGCATAGAGGTGTGTACGATAATACTTGGCTTCCCAAGAATATATTTTTAATGTCCTATCTGACAGAAGAGTTGATATGGTTGTTGAATGACAAAATATGAGTCATATTCCATGTGGCAGCTGAGACAGAGGTTGGGTTTGTGCCCACCCTGCGCCAGCACCTTGTCACTGGAGTTAAAAATCCTTCAGGTGGAGGAGAGGAGATGGGAAAAGCCTTGATGGCTTTAAACACCCTGGTGCTGGTGTCTCTCAGACTTCTGCAGCTCTGTGGGGTTTGGTGAGCTGCTCGTCCAGGTGCAGCTGCAGTGATGGTGCACAAACCTCCTGATCTGTGAATCTTAAACAGTTCCTTCACAGCTATTAAAGATTTCTTACACCAAATGCTATTCTGAATGTTTGTTTGCTTTTGCCTCTCTCAGCCTTGATTTCAAGGGTGAGATTTTTGTTCAAAGGAGGCAGAAATCTGCCCTTGTGCCTGATGGAGGTGGTTGCTGATCTGCTGTGGCAGGTAATCAGCTGTACCCTTCCACCGAGCTGGCAGCAGTGCTTAGCCAGAGTCTCTGGCATTTTCCCCCAAAAGGATGGGGCTGTTTTAAGGAAATGTTCTGAGACCCCACTGTGGGAGTTTGGGTATTTCTGTAACTGCAAGTGTATTGCTACAAAAGTGTGAATGAAACTTACACTGAATAGCTTGAAAATTAATTTTCTCCAGCACCGTTGATTTTGGTTCTGGTTGAGATATTTGCACACTATATCTTCTTTTATGCTGAAAACACTTAACTAAGAGTAATGTACTAAGAGTATACCTGGAATGCACAGGTATACAAAAATGTTTATGAATCAAGTACTCCACATTGTAAGTTGAACCTAAAATTAATATATTAAAATATTTGGGCTCCTAACCAAATAGTTTATTGCATTGGCTTCTTCTCGTGCTGTAGAATTTAATTTATTTTTTTTTTAATAAAACACTTCAACCTAAGTTGTCATCCAAGAAAGTCCTCTCCATTTTTGACTTTGTTCTGTCAGTGAGGAGTCTCTGGTCCCAGTCAGGCTGAGTGGAGTCTCTGTCCTCTGAGTGGGTAGCAGATGTGTTTTCCTAAGGGCTGATGTTTTCAACCTGGCTTATCTCCTAGGGCAAAACCCCATGCAACTGCATTTCTACCTTAGATCTGCTCATACACTGATAAGGTGTGTGGTCTGTGAGTACCCAGTCACACACAAATCTTAATTCCTACGTGCTCCCCTTTTCCCCTGGAGCCACTATCTCATCTCCGTGTAGCAAAAGGGCCAGCTGAGAGCTGCATTCATGATTGACTGTAGTGGTCTTAGATTAGGAGAAAGGTGAAAAAAAAGCGCTTGGAGTTGTGGATTATTTTGTGGGCTGTGGGAATTGCTGGTTTCTGCAGCAATAGTAGAAGCAGAGGCAAATGAGGTGTAGGTTGGAGCTGCGGTTTTGCACAGCAACATCGGGAATTAGGAATGGGGGGGTCTGTTCCCTATGGTTTGGTGCCTCATCCAGTGCAGCGCCAGGATCGGGCCCACTGTGAGCCCTAGAAAAAAGAATTGTTACCAAAAGTCTTTAGAGGAAGTGCACGTGTCCTTTCCCCTCTGAAGGAACGCATAATTGCCATTTCTCAAAGTGAAAAAGCACAGGTAGTAAATGTGTGAGTGGGCATAGGGACCAGGAGGGCATCCTGCCCCTCTCCTCCCACCTGCAAGAGTAACAAAAGGAAGGGATCTTCCCCTCCCTCGCTGCCTTAGCAGCAGAATTTTGGGAGCAGAGCTGCAGTTTTCAGGTGCTGGGGAGCCCTGCCCTGTCAGAGCTGTAACAGGTTTCCTCCTGCCCATGCCGAGAGCAGCTCCGTGCAGGACACAAGTTTGAAACAGATTTTACTGGGTGCCTTGGCATGAAGGAATTCCCTGAAACCTGATCCTCGCTGGAGCTCTGTCCCCAGTCCTAAGAGGTGTCCCCATTGTCTCATGCACCTTTGTTTTAAAATAATATTAAGCCTCAGACACCAGCTGATATGCTTTAATTCAACATCCAACTTATGTTTGATTTCTTTTCATATTCAAGTGAGCCATCTGGCTTTAATGAACTGTAACTGTTTTTAATGCTGCCTCCAGTTGCTAACATCTGAATATTTCATGTGCTGAAAGGAGATTTGAAATGCAGAAGTGAGACTGAAGAGTCCAAAGTATTTCCAAATCAGCTCTGTTCCAGCAGCACTTGTGCTCCACTTCCCTTGAGATTTATCAAAAGATAATCTTTGGGGTGCCAGACTGTAAGCAGCAGCCATGGTGGGTGCTAATTACAAGTGCTCTCAATTTTGTGTACATAAAACACCACAACTGCTTATGAAATCCTGAACAACAACCCAACTTCACTTGGGCAGAATATCAATCAGCTTCAACAGGAGCTGCCAGTGTTTGGCATTTTCTAAATCAGCAGTCTCTTTGGTGCTTGGGGTTTTTGGTTTTGTGGTTTTGTTTTGGGGGTTTTTGGTGGGGAGGGTAGTGTCCTAAATAGTCTCACTCTGCAAAAAATAAAAAAATAAAAAATGGAGTGTACTTGCATCACTTAGTTTAGTTATAGAAGCTAATTGAAAGCTGTATCCCATAAACTGAAAATAGCTTAATTGCAATTAATTCTGAGTATACTTTGCCAGGGCTGCACTATTGTAAAGCAGTGGCATATCCCCAGACTTGTTGGAATATGTGCTTTGCTCACAGCATTGCCTTTGTTTTGGCTTAGCACTGTGACAGCTGATAGACTTGGGAGAGGCCATTGGCAAGGCATGTTTTGATTAATGTTTTGTTGGTTAGTTTGTGTGCAGAGCATGGTGCCAGTGACATCATCTTCCAGCAGCACTTTTAAAAAGATGGAATAGATGGAAGCTCAGTCTGTGTAGGAGGAAGGTCTTGGGAGAGGATAGTCTGGGAACATGTGCTTGAGTTACCTTACCCTGCACTGCTGTGTCCTTCTTGTGAGCCTGGAAAACCAGTGGAGAGTGAGAGTGGAGCCTGGATTTAATTTCTCAGTAGCTTCCTCACAGAGCCAGAGCTGGATTGGAGTTAATGTGTGCCCTTGTAGTTACATGCTGAGCACTGACTTTCTGAGCTGGAGTGGAGCAGGTTATAGAAGCATATAGCAGAAATGGGCAGCTGAGTTCCATTCCAGACACATTCCTATGAAGCTATAATGAATAAAAGTTGTTGGTGTCTTCTACACAGTAGATTTTTGTGGCATTAAGCTGCCATTCAACAGGAGCTCTTAATGATAACTCCTGCAACTCTCAAAAAAATTTTATTTTCACACATAATGAAATTTTTGAAGTCAGCTGTAGTTTTGATTGTACTTGAACTTCCTACGTGACTGAGCACTGCTGCTGGATATCTTATTCTATCCAAGTTTGTTGATTTATTTGTGTGTGAAGGAAGCTACCAGTGTTGTGTATCTCTAAGGGTTATCAGGTAGTCTGCATGGACTGTAGCTGTACAAAACTCAAAAACAGAGACTTTTCAAATGTGTAGGACTTCCTTTTTATAAACCATTGTTATTCAAAATGTGTTTATTTCAGAAGTACAGCCTATGTTTCTTGGAACCTGATTTTTAGTCTTCTATATTATTTCAGGTATCTCAAAACAGGTACTTCACAGACATTCAACAAGAATGCAATGACTTTTTGAAGTTACCTTTTTCTTACTAGAGTTTTCAAGCCAATAATCTTTCTGGATTTATGGATTTTATGTATTTGGATTTATGGTATTTATGTATGTTTTTCTTTATAGCCACTCATCTCTTTGATTTCTATAAAGATGTCAGTCAAAGTGTGTTATTTGTAAAGAAACATGTCACCCACACTCTAACTTACTATACAACTTTGCTTTAGTGGAGAATTTTGTAAAGAAACAAAACCTGTGGTTCACTGCCAGTGAACTGGTGGTCTTGCTTTAGGCCTGTTTTTACTCATTTTCTACCACCATCAGGAAAGAATTGTTTTATTGCTGATAGGAATAGGTTTGTAAATTGGATATTAGGAAGGAATTCTCGGCTGTGAGGGTGGTGAGGACCTGGCACAGGGTGCCCAGAGAAGCTGTGGCTGCTCCATGCCTGGAAATGTCCAAGGCTGGGTGGGATGGGACCTGAGCAGCCTGGGACAGTGAAAGGTGTCCCTGCTCATGGCAGGAAGGAGATGATCTTCGAGTTATTTTCCAGCCCAAACCACTCAAGGGTTCTGTCTTAAAAGTAGCTAAAAATCCCAGGAAGATTTTCTTACCAGGTGTTCCTTTCAGGTGTTTTCCAGGATCTCTTCTTGAATGTCCCGGCTGCTGTCGAAGGCGGGAGGCAACTCATGACCACCAAACAGTGACAGCCTTGGACTCCCCTGCTTCTGGCTGCTGGCAATAACCACTGGGCTCCTGTGGAGATGAATGGAGAACAGCAGTATGATGCAGGTAACAGTCCAGCCCAGCTCCCTGGCCAACTTTTCTGAAAATATTAGCAATGTGGAAGAAAGATGAGCACAGTGAATGTCTCACAGGGCATGTGCCTGGTGCTGTACACAGGGAGAAACTCCAGTCTCACAGATTCTGGGTTCTGTTCTGGCTACATGGCTGTCATGGTTGTGTTTGTTACTGCTCTGTATCAGAGCAGGGTGTATCACTGCCTTAAAGGGAAGCAAAATCTGGCCCACCATGGTGGTTGTGTTTTCTAGAAGCTGTGACTTTCCTTTTTGTGGTACCACTATGAGATGGGCTTATGAAAAGCTTGGTGGTGTTAACACTTACTATTGTAAGGCATTTATCTTTCAGAGTGGTTAATACCTAGTTCTGTCCTTGTGTTCATTTGTTAACATTTTGGCAAGCTTTTGCTGCTGGTTGAAAAAGTCAGATAACTGAGGCTGTTAGCTGCCATTGTAATCTGTCCTGTTTTCCTGAAGTGCCTTGGTGTGTCCTCTTTGATAAGCTTGTGATATCGATACCTAACCTCCTGCACAGATGTGTATTATGATAAATCAGCTCAGGTTTTGGATCACCTTGGAACACCAGGCCAGGAAGAGTGTTAGTTTGGGGTGGCTGGGAATGCTAACAGCTTCCTGAAATGGTTCTGGAATTGTGAGGGTAGGGATCATCCATTTTCTCTGTCTTGCCTGATGTGGCTTGTCCCTTTTCTTTGAGGAGGTGCCTGCCTATTACAGTTTATTAAATTATTATTAAAGCAAATTTTAATTTGTAATTATCAGTGTAAACAATTGATCAGGATTTTATCTGAGTATTACTTTCTTTTGATACTTGTCTAACAAGCTGCTCTTCTCATAGGACAATCCACTATTGGTAATTTTTGTACCTTTACTTTAAGGAAATCTAATTGTTGTTAGTGTTGCTGAAGAAATATTAAATATAATTTTAATCCATAGTGTTTTTTAGGAAAATGCTATCATCTTCTTTATCATGCTGAAATATGCTTCTTGAGTATTAATTACAGCAAGTCAGTCAAGTTGTTGTCGATGTTATTCCTCAAATAATCAAGAAAAGGCATCATGGATGTGGATGTAGAATTTCTCCTGGCACATGCAAATATTTTTTCTTTGCATAGTAGAAACTGTAGGCTCCTGTCACAGAGTGTAAGGAAGGGAGAAGAAGAGTGAGGAGTTCTTTACATGGTCAGCAGTGGTGTGTCAATAGGTTGTGATAGCACATGCCTCAGTCTTAAAACCTTTATTGACATTTTTCCATCTTCCTCAAAAAGTACCAGGTCACAGAGTCCTCTCTCACTTGTGCTTTTGAATAGCTAAGGAAAGGTTTGATACTGGCTTGAAATTACTCAGCAGCTATTTCCCTGAGCATCCTTTTGTGCCAGGTTGAGTACAGGAGGCTGTGAAGAGCAAACAATAAATGATGAGAGCTTTACTTGCATTCAGAGATAGTTCCCAGCAAATGCCTGTGTAAGCATAAGCACATTGGTTCTGTTGTGCCCTCTAATACTGTTTTCTGAAGTGCTTTTGAGTTATACCAGTCCAAACCACTGCTGGAACATTGCCTTCATATTCTTTGTCTGGTGTAATTTTCTTCCACTTAATAATTTGCAGCAGCTTTTGGAGATTCTCCTCTTTTTCTGGTTTTATATCCAGGCCCTCTGGTTTTGAAAACCCAGACAGGGCTCAGTGTGGTTGGTTATGATGCTCCCTTGCACTATGAGGGGAAGACAACTTTTATTCTTGTCAGTGTCTTTCTCAACTTCTGAAATTCCAACCTGTCTTTATTTATTCATGGCCTTGCAGCTGGTGGAGATGAAAAAGATTAACTGTTATTAAAATCAGATTGAACTATATCTTCTTTTCAGGGTGAGAAACCTTTGGGTTAGCCTTACTGAAGTCTGCAAGACCTTCAATTGTGATGTACTTAAATGTCCAATGTGACAGTCTTTTACGAAATCACATTAAAGATGCATGAAAGTTATTTGCAGTGAGAATTTAGCTGAAATCCAAAGATGAGAACAGCCTAGTGTAGACTGTTCCCATTTCAGATATTTTTAAGGGCTAACTTCCTTAATATTTCACTATACTCTCCAGTCCAAATGGTATAATTCCATATTCTTTCTCTACCTGTATGTATCAGAGAGCAGCAGGATGTAATTTGTGATAAAATTCGGAAAGAGTGAGTGTTCCCAATAATGCCAGTAGAAGTAATGAGAAATGGGAAGTGATGCATGTGCCTAGAAAACTGCTGGTATTCTTACAGAGAATTTTCTCACCTCCAAAGTGGATGAATATTCTCTACAGAACCTCTGCAGGACACTTCTCAGATTTTACTTCAGAAAATGTGAGCTTGATTTGAAAGTTCTTCTGACGCAAACTGGTTGCATGGCAAGGCCAGAGAGATGGGAATTGTGTCAGGTTTCTTCCCTTGCCTTTGCCAGAGTTGTGCTTTGCCTCTGGGCTAATGTGCTGCTCAGTCATCCTGTCTAATACAGAGAAATAAGTCTCCACATAGGAGAAAGCTGAATTCATTTAGGGCTTGTAGCAATTAAGGATATAGGGAGAATGAGAGAGCATAAATATGTACACCCATGCAGCATTAGATAAATAAACTGTGCTTTGGAATCAAATGCATTAAATACAGTTTTGCTTGTTGTCATCTGTCACACTGATTTGCAAGTTTTCTCACAGTAGCTAGAACCTCTCCTGTAAATGTCTGAGATTTTATTGAACATTCTGAACTCAGACTGATCGGGGTGTTCAGTGCAGACTTATGGCCCCACAGGAATGTGGCTTCATTAAACTGGTCCTGTGTCTCCAGGGATCTGCTATCCTGTGAGGATGGAGCTGTGCAGTAGGGTCTTGCAAAAAATACTAGCAGAACAGTTCAAAGGCTTGTTTTAAGCAGGGTTTGCTCTGCTGCCACTGTATTGCCAATAAAACCAGAAAAGTGATCGGATTCTGACTCTGAAAGCGTTACCAAGAGAGATGGTCCTTTGCTGCACTTCTGGAGTGTTTCTGCATTCAGATATTGAAAAAAAAGACACTTCTTTGGGGGGTTTTTCTTTGTTTATGTCCTACCACATGCCACAATTAATAAGCTAATTTACTGCTCTCACTATGAATCCTCATACAGCATTTTTGCTTGGAGCTGTATTTTGTGAGGTTTTCCCGTTCCACATTGCTCCAGGAAGAGCTGTGCTAAATAACCTGGGCTGCTGTGGCAGGTTTGTGAGAAGCAGCAAACAGGATGGTTCAAACCATAGCTAAGCACAGCCCTCAGCTTGGGCAGCCTCTGAAAGGGAGGACAGTTCCCCAGCTCTGCTGTACTCAGTGGTGGAAATGATCACCTCAATTGTAAAACCTCTGTAAAGTGTAAAGGCAAGCTGAGCTCAGCTTTTGTGAATGAGTGAACAGAAAAAGTTGGGGGTGCTTTTTGGAGAAGTTTTTAAAAGTCCCTCTGACTGAAGGAAACTCCCTGAAAGAAAACGGTAAGAATATTAAATTTGCCATGAGTGTTGGATAGGGATTTAGGTTGGTTTGTTTCAGTTTTGGTCTGGTTTTGTTTTTTGGTGGGGGTGGTTTATTGTTTGGTTGTTTTGGGGTTTTGTTTTGGTGGGGTGGTTTTGTTGATTGGGTTTGTTTTGGGTTTTTTTATTTGTTTTGGGGTGTTTCATTTGGTTTTTCCTATGAAAACTGTGTTTCTAGTGAGCTTTTGGCGGTGCTGATGAGCTGGGGTACAGGGCAGTGAGCGCAGCCCGGCCGTGCGGGAAGCGCTGCTCTGNGCCGGGGGCCGCTGGTCCCGCCGGGGGCCGCTGGTCCCGGCCGGGGGCCGCTGGTCCCGCCGGGGGCCGCTTCAGCCGCAGCGAAAGGCGAAGGGTCACTGGAGCAGCAGGCAAACCGGCTTTCCTGGGAGCTCCTTGTAGCAATTAAGTGGCAACATAAGTTACTAATTGACCCTTTCAGTGTGTGAAGTGACCTGTGGCTCATTTAAGGAGCTTAGCCGCCCCTCCGGCAGTTATCTGATGGCAGCGGGCATTGAGCGCTCCGGGACAGCCCCGGCTCCCCGCGGCATTCCCGGAGGAGCCGCTGCCTTCCAGAGCGGCCAGAGCTCTGCTCTGCCTCCCTCCGAGCATCCCCTCACTGCCACACCATGCAGGACCTGCTTTTTGGGGCTGGAGGGGAGGGAGGTTGTTGCTGCAGGGTGGTTTTTGGAGGAAGGGTGAGATGGTTTTCTCTGGGTGGGAGGAAAATTAGAATTCGCTCCTGGCCACTCTGACTGGCCAGAGCTGGTGTTTGTTCCCTTTTGATGGTGAAGCTGTGAACTTCAGCGTCTTTATGATCGTATAAAAATAAAATTCTGTTTTAATGAGTTGAGAAATCTTAATCTGTTTTAACGAAACTTTGAAATCAATTGTTTTTCTTAGAATGGTTTGCAGCCAAAGCTCTGATCAGCTCCACCCTAATTTGCAGACAGCTGTGGTCTGTCTTGTAACTTTTTATTCCCTAAAAAAAATTCTAAATAAAATTCCTTATTTCTCCAGGTAATTTCCTCAGTAAGTTAAAAATTATCCCTTAAAAGTGATGGTGATATTCAAGCTCTGAATCTTTTGAGCTCTTGGTCTCATGAAAGGCCAAAATAACCTCTTGTGTTTGGTTAAAAACGGACAAAATTGGGTTCTGCAGAGATAAGAGCCTCTTTTAAAATAGATAATGTCATCAGCAAACAACAGCTAACTGAATATACATTTTTAAGTTTTGGGAAGTGATAATTCCTAGAGTCACAACGAAAAGTCAAAGATGAGCTTAACTATCAGTCTGAAGATAAAATGAACCTATTAAACTCAAGACTTGTAGGTTTTTAGTCTATTTAACGTATCTCAGACTTTTGGACAAATATTTGTTCCTTTCTATTGGAGGACTGGGAATTGTTCCAGATCTTACTTAGCAGGTTGTTAGCCTGTCAGGGGTCTGATAAGGACATGTGGTGGTAATTAATTCATTTTTATTTTTTTTATGTGTAATGTTTCCTACTCAAACTACTGCTGCTTGAAAGCTCAGTTACTGCCTGTCCTAGGAAAGGCAGGGGGTGTGGGAAATGCCCGTGTCCTGTAGCCTTTGCTCAGCTCTCCTTGGGCTTGTGATACACAGAGATTTCTCTGTTTTCAAATATAAACAAGGTGTCAGGTTTCCTGGTCCTGAGAGGGGGAAAGCTCTGTTGTTCATTCATAAGGACAGCTATGGTGCAGATGGTGGAATCAAGCCTGAAAATGAAAATAAAAGCTCTGCTCTTGTGTGCTGTCGCTGCCACTCTGTTTTGTTGCTGAACCTGAACCCCTTGTGTTGGGGTTAAAAATGCTGCTTGCATGGGCTGGAGCCCTCCCTGGCCATCCCACTGTGTTCCTGCAGGAAAAATGTCACCTGGCTGCCTGCTGAAATAAACAGGGGGCCTGAAATCCAACCTGTGCTGGCTTGGTGTCTTTTTAGCAAAGTGGGGGTATGTTGGAGAAAATGGGAATAAGAGAGAGGCGGGGATGGGGGCCAAGCCAGAACTGAAGGGGAGACCAGGGCTGGGGTACAGGCCTGACAATAATAACAGAAAATTTGACTGATCTGTAGTGTGGCTTATTACAGGTGCTTGCTTCCCTAACTTCCCTAACAGCCTGAGTGAGCTTTGAACAGTGGTTTGAATGATTTTAGCACATTTATGGTTTAAATGCATCCCATAGTGAGGTTTTCTTGGTCTAAAGAAGCTGTTACACCTTATGAACTGGGCTTTTAAAGTGACCAAGTTGAGTGGACTTTATTTTAATTTTGTCTCAAGTTGTTTTCTTTAGAACTACCCTGAATTCTTTCTCTTTGCTTTTGATGTTTTAGAACAGGTAAATGTGTACTATCTAACTTTAAAAATAGCACAGTCATATTTCAAAGGTGTTTTAGACCTTCTTTTCAAATCTATTTCTAGTGGTATTGCTCTTTCCTGGGTGATTTTTAATTTAAAACACCAACAGTCCAGAGTGTGTGGAGTTCTGAGTCTCTCATTTGTTGATACAAATATAGAGCTTCTCCCTACATTTCCCTCTCACAAATTGTAAGCAAATTTGTGCTAAAACAAAATCCTCAGGATTTCACTGTTTACCAGACCAAGTCCAGCTTCAAAGTGCTGTTCACAGGCCAGGAAAGGCTAAGTACTGCTGTTCATTTCTTGAAATGTGTTCATTGCACACTTGTGTAGTCAGTCATTTGGAATTGAAGTGGGTTTTGCTGTGGTTTGTAGTAGCCTAAAGCTACTGACTTAGAAATGTTTGGCTTATCTTCCAGATGCTGGTTCCAGTGTGGAAGAAATGGAATTCAACTGGGATGAGTATCTAGAAGACACAGGAGCAACTGCAGCCCCTCATGGATCTTTTAAACATGTGAGTAAGGGAGTGTGTTTGCACTTAACATCTCCTACATTGTTTCTTTCATACACTAAATGTTTAGGCTATCTTTGCATGAGTTGCTTCTCTCAAATTTGGAAGACTAACTAGAATCATGTTATTTTCTAGAGAAATGCAGGATTTAACCTTCTTGTTATTGTTTCTTGTCCTGCTCTCTGTACATAGCAAAGGGTAACCCCACCCACAAGTGCTGAAATCTAAGGAGTTAAAGTCTTTGCTGCACCAGAAGATAAGCTTGATTTTTCTCAAGAAGCTCAAAATATCCAGTCTCTTTCTTCTTTTGGTGATTGCTCCTGGACAAGTGCTATGGAGGAGTAGCTTTAGAAAAGCATCAGAATACTTCTTGAACAGCAGAATTCAAATTGCTCTGAAAGAAGGCTGTAATGGCAGACCTCAAAGAGGCAAGGAGAAAATAATAGCTTTGCCAAACACCTGACTGTAGTAGTTAGAAAACTGATTAGGATAATTGTTGATTAGGCTTAATGAATAGGATGAAGTCTTGATAAGCCCTTGTCTTTGTCCTTGGACATCTTAAATGTTTTCTGGTAAAGTCCTGGAGAGCACTGTCCCATTGGGGGAGATGTGAATGTGAAATCTGCCTTCTTATACAGGGTCTTCAGTGAGGGTGAGCTGTACAGAGCTGGTGTCCAAACCTGTTGTTTTTCTTCCAACAATTAAATCACCTTCCAGACTGCCAGACTGGTGACTGTGTGTGACACATTGCTTGGAAGACACCCGTGGTGCTCAGGCTTTTGGGTCCAAATACCATGACTTTCAGTATGAGAAAATTTAAATCAGCAGGAAAACAGACTGAAGTCTGTTTGTGAAGTCATGATTGAAGGATCATGAAACATTTTGAGTCCAAGAGTAACCTGGAGAAATGAAGACTATTAAATAATCTGTTAAAATATGTCAGTTGTGTTAGTACAGATGCACAGAAGATACAGACTTCACAGAGGCTGTTAGATTCTGCACGTTCAGAACAGAACTGTTGGGCATTTTGTACCAGAGCTCCTTAGAATTTGGCTGGAGACCAGTGTTGATGTTCTCTGTAATAATCTTGGCATAAAATTCTGAGAAGTTATTGCTGACACTGAATTGACAGGCAGAGGGAGGAGCGTATTTGTATCAGTCTCGCTGTTAATAGAAATGCAGGAGTGCAAGGTCACATGCTGGGGGTTTCTGTGGTCCATTGGAGGTAGTGTGTTGGAAAAGGTGGAGTAGAGAGCCTCACTGCCTCCCAGTGGAGAGTGACAGCCTGTCTTTGTGAGAGAGCACTGAGACAAGGTTAGTGTGATTCCAGGATACATCAGGTGGGTGACTGCACTGGTGTGGCTGTGCTGGTGACTCTGGTCCCTCCAGCTCAAATCCATGGTCCCAGTTTCTTCACTTTAGGAATGACATACTTTTATAATCCACCATCAGGAGAGCTAACAAACTTTACTCTCAAAAAAAGAGTGGAAAAATCTGATCTGAAGAATAGTATTGGCACAAGAGCAAATGAACATATATGATTAATTAACATAAATGTATTTTTAAATGTAACTGTATGGTTTTAGTTTGGTGCTTTTTAAATACTGAAGCAGTGAGCTCCCATTATGAGTTGTGGGTGAGAACTATCTCGTGTTGTAGAATGAGAGTACAGGTCATGTTAAGAAAATGTAGTCCATGATTGCACAGCCTGTATTAGCAAAGCACTGGACTTGCTGATGGGAGAGGTGACTTTTTATATTTGCTTATATTAATTCTGAAAGTTTTGCCTTGCTATGAGTAAGATGAATTGGACAATTAAGCTACTTCTCAAATTAAGTGTGTTCTAATGTTTAATTTGTTAGCGTTTTAAAAATTAAACAATATCAAGATAAAAGTGACTGTTTGGTATAAAATGTAGCAGGAAAAAGAACTTAACAAAAGCCTGGAGCTGTAATGAATGCCAGTGTTGTTACTGCTCTCTAGTCTAAATACATCTCTAGAATTGAATGCTATTTTAAATTCCTTTCTGCCTTTTAAAACATGAAAAAGAAGTTGGTGTTCTGCATCATCTGAACACATGTATTTGCTGAGGGTTCTTGCATGCCCTTTATCCTTTTTGTCTGTTCCTTACCATTATCTCCCCCTGGTCTGAATCGCCTCCCTGGGCCTGGCTTGTGCCACAGCACAAACTGGGGGACAGCTCCTGATGGGAAGGGGAATGGGGGCTGGAGTCACAATGAGAGGCTCAGCTGCCTCTCAGACCCACTGCTCCAGAGGAGATGCTCTCAGGGTGCCCATCCTGCCCTGCTGGCCAGGCTGGCCCCAGAGGCTTCTTGCAGAATCCCCCAGTTTGCTCCTTGTGGAATCCCCCAGTTTGCTCCTTGGGGAATCCCACAGTTTGCTCCTTGGGGAATCCCACAGTTTGCTCCTTGGGGAATCCCACAGTTTGCTCCTTGTGGAATCCCACAGTTTGCTGTGCTTCCCCAGCCTGGCGGCGCTGCCGGGAGAGGGCGCGGGCAGCGGCTCCATCCACACGGTATTCCCAGGAAACGGCCGGGACACCTTAGGAAAGGCACCTGGTGGCAGGGAACGCTGCTCCTGCTGCTCTTGGTTTTGCTGAAACCTGCTCTCCCTGCCGTGAGGCTTTGTTGAAAGATCTGGTATAGGGAGAGCACAGATTTCCCAATTCTTCAAATGCCGCTTTGAGCTTGAGGCCTTTCTCTCAGGAATCAGAACATGAAGTTTTTGGGAATATCTCTTCAGCAAGACAAGTCTCTTTTTTAAGAGACACCCTCTATAATACTGCTTCAAAATGCCTGCAGGTATTGGGTCCTGCTGATTAGGCTTTTAAGAAGAGATTTCTCTAAGTGAAGGGTATTAACCTGAAGGATATGAACAGTTAACACAAGCATATGCTTTTATTTCTGGTGTAGTTCTCTTATTTTTAGCAAACCAGTATGTGCTGGCTGCTGAGACTATAATAGCTATGGCAGTTACTGAACTGTCAGCACAGAACTGGGAATATGTACCCCAGAAGATATCTGCTCCATCTGCATCATACTGAAAGCCTTTCTTGTAGTTGGTTCAAAGAGGAAATGGAACTTGGGATCTCTTTAAAAAGAAAGAAAACACCAATTACAGTCAACTGAGAATAGGGAATTTACATGTCAGAGTTTTAATTAGGACTGAGGTCCTGGAATTAAGCACAGATCAAAACGTTCTATAGAGAGAGCAGAACAGGGTCCATCTGCTCTTTCAGGATTGTTTGAGTTAGGAGAAGTTAGGGATATGAGAAACTTAAGGAGTTGCCTTCTCTTTTAAGTGTCCCATTTCTGTGTCTCAGTCCCATGCAGTTGGATTGGTCACCTGCACACAGCACACCCACATACAAACAGAACACTCCCAGTGTTTGGTGCTTTATTGTTGTCAAAGCATGAAGAATACACACTGATTTCGTTCTATGTGATTTATGTAACAGTGCTGCATATAGAATTATTTAGGTTCTTGCACAGAGAGGTTAAAAATCCTTAGTCTGCACTTTGTGCAGGTTTGTGACTTCCTAGATGAGCATGGTGGAAGGGACAGATACTGTTTAGCTGAGGCATGTGTATGTGCTTTAAATGGGCTTTATGTCCAAAGACCTTGAATGACAAGTTTAACACAAGTCAAAGTTGTGGCACTGAGTTTGGCCTTCAGTTGTGCTCAGGTTGAGAGCCCAGCTGTGTGTGGGAAAGCCTTCCAGTGATGCAGAAAGGTATTGCCCAGGGCAGAAAAATGAATGACACGGTATTGCTTTAAGCTTGAAAAGATATTCTGAAATGCAAAGAAGATTTCATTAATGTTGATTCTGAGTGTATTCCAGTTTGGGTCCCATAATGTGATAAAGCTATTTCTCTGAAGAGACTGGGTGGCATTTGGCTTGAGATTTTCTGCTAATGATCTTGTCTGAATTACTTCCTCTGTTATTCAGCAAAGTTTCTGAGAGGTGCATGAGGACCTCTTGTGATGATCTTCTTCCTCTTCAGGTGGATACAAGTTTGCAGAATGGTTTTGCCCCTGGCATGAAGCTGGAAGTCGCTGTCAAGTCTGACCAGAACACCTACTGGGTTGCCACCATCATCACCACGTGCGGGCAGCTGCTGCTGCTGCGCTACGATGGCTACGGCGAGGACCGCAAGGCTGACTTCTGGTGTGACATCCTGACAGCTGACCTGCACCCCATCGGCTGGTGTGAGCAGAACAAGAAGATTCTCAAAGTGCCTGAAGGTAGCAGCTCTGTGTGCAGAAACAGGGGAACACACCAAGGGGTGCTGTTGTCCTGTGTCAGCCAGGCAGGGAGCATGTGTAGCTGCTGTGGTGTGTAGGTGCTGGTGCTGTGGGGACAAGCTGAGGTTATCTGCTGTGTTTTCCTGAAATCCCATGACAGAAGCTTGGGGTTACCTTAATCATCACCATCAAAATCTACTGCTTGGAGGTTTCCTTTAAGTTTGTTTTGTTTTGTTTCTTTGTTTTGTTACTGGTGAGTGGCAGATTTTCCTGAATTAGGCAGCGCAAGGGTGTGGTAACATCCTGTGTCTGAATAATCTTTATCTGGCAGGAAAAATCACAGTCCTTCTCTTTCACTCCTTGCTTAGGTATCAAGGACAAGATACCTGACCAGGAGGAGTTCCTGCAGCGGGTGCTGAAGGGGGCCTGCAGTGCCCCTGCTAACCTGCTGGAGGGGGTAAGTGCTGCGAGGGGCTGCATACTGAGTTTTGTCTTGGCTTTGCCTTTCATCATTAAGAGGACCTTATTTGAATTGTCAGTTCAATTCCCTTTTTAAGTTTAGGGAGCATTGTAATATGCTGTTGACCCCAGAGTTCCTCTCTCTAGTGTTTCCTATTTACAGTATTTAATTTTTATAGTGTTGTCTTGAAACATATCTGTAGCTGCAGCTTTAGGTTGTTCATTAATCCTGGCAAAAGAAAGACCTTTTTCAACTCCCTAAGGTTTCAATCTTCTTCCAATTCTGTTCCTCCTCCATACAGCTCTAAGAAAATAATGCTTTATTTATCTGGGTTTTATGTTGTCTCCTTTCTTAATTGACTCCTTCTACTTTGCATTGGTTTTTTTGGGCATTTTTCGCTAGCAGTCACTTTATTGTTTCACTTAAACATTACATCTTTGCTAGTGAAGAAGCAAATTTTTATCCCCTGCTCTGCACTTAAAACAATATCTGCACCTTGTATCAGTGTCTGGCTGTAAAATACAGAACATAATGGTTTTTGGAAAATGCCTCTGACATCTGTGTTACAGCTAACAGTTCTGTCTGTATGTTTCTGTCTAGTCATCTTTGTATGCTGGATGACTCAGTTTTAGAAAGAGGTTATTCATGTTTCCTTCAAACCATGAATATATAAATAATAATGTCTCTGAAAGTGATAATGAAGACTTAAGTGAAATGTGTGACTGTATCTACAGGCAGTGCAGAAGCTCTGACACAAACACCAGCAATTCTGAACATTGTCATTTCTGACTTGAGTTAGGAAGGGACATGGATTTCTGTGCTTCTGTGTTCATACTTTATTTATGCGGACAGAATGTGTGTAAAGTGGTGGAAGTATGGCATTTGCTTTGTTCTGATGTGCAGAATAATTTGTATTCTTTTTGTAGCTTCACAGAGGGAAAAATCCGTTGGACCTCATCGCACCTGGCTCCCGGCTGGAACTGCAAAACATCCGGGATTCCCTGGAAGCCTGGATAGTCAACGTGGTAGAAAATGTTGGTGGGAGGCTGAAGTTGCGGTATGAAGGCCTGGATGATTTGGACAAATTTGACCAGTGGCTCTTCTATTTGGACCCTTTCCTTCACCAAGTGGGTTGGGCAGCTCAGCATGGATACAGCCTGCAACCACCTTTAGGTACTTGAAAACACAGATCTTGTATGTGGTGATCAGAGGGTAGAGGCTGCTGCTTTAGTGCTCTGAATTGTCCTTCAGGGTGCACGTGGTGGTCACATAATTCCTGTGATCTGACAAGTCCTGTACCTAATCAAATGTAGGTGAAGGTACAAATAGTCCTACAAGACTTTTTCACCCACTTGTTCTAAAGCTGCTAAATGCTTTTGGCTGTTAAAACTTTCCTCCTGTTTGTGCAAAGGAAAGAAGTGAGGAAGAGATTGCCTTCCTGATTTGGTTATTTTTGGTATGTTTGTTTTCCTGGGGTGGAAAAAGTCTTATAGTTTTGGAATACTGCTCAGCAGCAGCTTTTGCCACCCTCAAGCCTACTGGAATGATTTAGATACTGTTTGAAGACATGAAAATGTCTCTTTAAAAGAAGGACCAAGTGAGTGGAAGTGGAGGCAGAGGCTGGAACAGGTGGACACATCTTTCAGGCATGTCTGTGTCAGGGCAGGTCATCAGAAGAAGGAGGCAAAAAGTGGCAGAAATACAAAGGGATGGCTTTTGAGCTTGCTGGTGATGTAACATATCTCCTGATGAGGGGAAATCTTGGGGAAAAAAAATGTGGCAGTTTAAGAGGGGCACAAATCAAACTTCATTGCTATATGTTCTGAGGGAAAAGAGGAAGAAAAATGACTACTCAGTCTTTCCCTCCCTTTTTCCTCAAGCCATTAGGTCCTTGAGGAGTGAAGCAGATTGGCAAGAGATCTTGAAGAAGGTGAAAGAGGAGGAGGAGGAGTCATCTGTTCCTACTGATCTTTTTAAGGTAGTTTAATTGCTGTGGCTGATACTATGGCAGTGCTATATTCCTGAGAAATAATACAGCAAAGTCAGTCACCCAAAAGTCTTTCCTTGTTTTGTTGGGTTTTAAAATTTATTTCCTTTCTCTCTCTGGTGTAAAAATATGATTATAAGGAAAAATAATCGTACTGATATCAATTCTTGGTAAGTTAGACAATGCACCCATCACAGTTATGTGAGTCATTAGTTGTCATGGTTCACATGTTTTAGACCTTCAGGTTCTTAGTTCATTTTTCTTAGCTTCGTTTGGACCCATAAATAGAAGTAGAGGTGCTGTTGCTCTTGAATTTGTTGGGTCATTTACAGAGCAGGATACAGATAATTCTGGAGCAGGAGCCCTGTTCTGCAGGTTTCTGTTAAACTGGGAATGGAGTCCTGTGTAGTTCTCATTTAGTCTAGTTCATGAGAAGTGCTAAAGGTTACAGGGAAAAAACCTCAACACATTTCTATCAACTTACAAGACCACTCTGTATTATCAAGTCTTGCTTCTGTGTGGAGAATGTCAGAGGAAGAAGTCACAGGGACTCAATTTCCTAAAACTCATCAAAAACTGTCAGTCTCAGGGGGCATTGTTGGCCTTTTCATTTAGACAAGTTGCTGGTACCGGGACATGTTGATTTCTTGGAATGAACTGATAAAAACTCCTTATAACTCATTCCTCTTCAGTTGATTTATGTGAGGTACATGTCTTTTTTGATGGAGGAGGGCAGGTAATCACAGCAACACATTATTTTCCAGGATAAACCTGTGATTGGAGTGCACTCGTTCTCTGAAGGCATGAAGTTGGAAGCTGTGGACTCCATGGCTCCGTTTGTTATCTCTCCTGCTACAGTTCTCAAGGTACCAGGGTTCTGAAACCACTCCTGCTCTAAGATTCAGTTCTACTGCTACTTCTGTTCTTAAATGCTCAGGGAGTTCTCATTAACTGGTTATCTTAAAATCTTGTGCTAGTTTTCAAATGAAGTGTTTTGTATGTCTCCCTCAGGGGACAGGCTCCCTGATAAAACAACTGCTGATGGTGAAGCCATTGGATTTCAATGGAGGGGAAAAGTTCTATAGAGATACAAGCTCAAAAGATGAAATGATGAAAATTGTCAAACCCAGATTTTTAAAATTGGGTATAATCCCTCACAATCTGAGTATGCATCTGAAGATAGTTTTTTGGCATTTTGATTTTGCGAAGGTTATGTCATTACTGTGTACACATGACATTTAGATGGCCTGATTTCCAAACAAGGGGTTTCAAAGTTGAAATGAAAACTTTCCAACATGATCAGATGTTACTTTTCTTGCTATTTGCTTGTCCTGCTTCTATTTACTTCAGGAGTGTAGTGGGTTTATTTGTGGCAGTCCATCCTGGGACACAGTTCAGCCTTGTTGAAATAAGCAGTTTGTTACAGAATACTAGGAAGACCACAAATGCTACTTTCTGTGCATTTTTCATGAGAAAATTCCCTAAAACATTTGATTACCTTAAGTGCTAAGACATTAAATTTTATTATTTATATTTGTTAAGTTTCTGGATAATGCAGATGAGTCCGCCGGTTTATAAATCCCAAAGATTCTTTTAATTTTATTTTTTTTGTAACCCTCACAGTATTTCAAGGTAAAGGGTTTCCATCAAGCAATGTTGCTGTTTAATAAAGTTATCAGAATGTGCATCTCATGAGAGCCTGTGGTTCTCTTTTGGCTGACTACAGGTGTACAATGACAAATATTTCCTGATAGAAATCGATGACTTGAGACCCGAGCGTGCGACCAGCCAGCGCTACGTTTGTCACGTCAACAGCGCCGGCATCTTCCCAGTGCAGTGGAGCCTGAAGAACGGGCTGCACCTCAGTCCCCCCCCAGGTATGTGTGTGCAGCCTCCTCCTGCTCACCCCTCTGCTCAGGACAGCACTTGGGCAAGACAATGGCACGTAGCAGCACGAGACAGATCCAGCTCTGAAAATCAGGAGCTGTGAGTTTGGGGAACTGAAGTTTCCCAGGCACAAATGTGGATCTGGGAGGATGAGAGTGGCTAAGGATGCTGGTCATGCATAACAACCTGAACACTGGAATGAATGGAGGCCTGAAAGGAATGTTGATTTCCGACTTAATTAACATCATATCAGAAGCATGTAGTCTTTGCATTGGATTTTTGCTTCTGGTTGAAATAGAACATTGTTATCCAACATTTTATAGCATTTTTAGGCCATCTTATCACTCAGAAGTTAATGAACTATTTTTTTTTAACCAATGGCCTATCAGGCACCGTTGCAGATTGTTGAAACATTGCTTCAGGACATAAGGGAATAGGATAGTGTTCCTGCTCTGCTAAAATATTTATTCATTTTCTCAAACTGGAAATGTCAGTGGAACTGTAAAACCTGGGCCTCTGCTCTCTTCTTCGCCACCTCACAATTCAGAATGTTTTGTTTTAGCTGCTCCTTACATCAGAGGAGCAGAGACCATAGGATGTTTGTGTCCTGCCTTTCCTTGGATAAGGTGTGGAAAGTGTCTCTGCCTGAGCAGTATTTCCTAGAATTTTGCATGTGAAAAGTGAAATCTCACTTCATAGGCATGTGACTGGAGCTGACAAAGATTTTATGGTTTTATTCTTGTCCCCCTGGACATTCTGAATTGTGTGAGGTCTCAAGAGCCCTATTGGCATTGGTAAAACTGAGAAAAATTAATAATTAAGTCCTTCTGTAGTTCAGTCCTTTCTGAGGGGAAGAGTCACAGAATAAGTTAGAGTTTGGACTGGTGAGGTCATTCCTCAAACCCTGTGCAAAACAGACATTGAGGGGCTGGAGCATGTCCAGAGAAGGGAATGGAGCTGGGAAAGGCTCTGGAGCCCAAGTCCTGTGAGGAACAGCTGAGGGAGCAGGAGGTGCCTGAAGAAGAGGAGGCTTGTGGGAAACTTTGGCTTTCTACAATTTTAGATTGTCATGTTAATACTATATTCTTCCACTGGGTTTAAAATTTTGTTTGATTTCTTAAACTGTTGTCACAGGTGTCACTTTTAAGGGGAGTGGAATAAGTGCAGCACTTGTCCTTGCTGATTTACTGCCAGCCTTAAACTGACATGGCAGCACACTTTTGTGCCCCATTCCCTTCAGTTATTTGCCTTTTATTAGATCACAGGGGAGCCAAGTATTTCCCCCAAGAAGAATATAATTTTTCTTGGAAGGATTCTCTGTCTCCTGATGGACTCCTTGTTAAGACACTTCCCTTCAAACGTGTGCAGATCTACAGCTGTTATCAGGCTTGATGAGGCTCTTGGCACATCTTACCACTCTCTTTAATGACTTAGTATTTAACATGTCTTTGAGACAGTAGCATGTTGATATTGTGCACATTTTGACTGCTCTGTTTTAAAAAAATAGTTTCAGAGCTGACACAACAGCAGTTGCAGAAATTTCTCCTGAATTTCATCTGTACTCTGTGGAAAGGGTGAAACTGCTTTCCCATGTTTCAGTTGGTGCCCTTGTCTGCTTGGCAGATTCATGATTCAGGTTGGAGTGGTCTGACCTCACATGGCTCCCCGAAGCCCTAAGTCAGCTCACAAACCTGAGTGACCCAAACAGATCTCAGTGCTGAGTGTGTCAGGTGGGTTTGAAACGAGTCTCAGCTGTTCAGCTCTAACCCTTGGCTCTTTGCTGTCCTAGGTTACCCTGGGCAGGACTTCGACTGGGCCGACTACCTCAAACAGTGCGGTGCTGAGGCGGCTCCCCAGAGCTGCTTCCCTTCGGTAAGGTTCTCCTGCAGGAAAATCTCCTTTGCTGCCTCAGTGCCACTCCTGATTCCAGGGAAAGGAACCTTTTGTGTGATTCTTACTTGAATTGCCTTTACAAGTAGAATAGAATATTCCAGCTGGAAGGGACCTGCAATGATCAATTATCCCATCCAGTGCCTGACCCTCTTCAAGGCTAACCAGAAATTAGTGTGTTGTTAAGGGTGTTGGCCAAACAATGACAGGGATGGAGCTTTGAGCACCTCTCTGGGAAGCCTGTTCCAGTGTTTGAACGCCCTCTCAGTAAAGAAGTGCTGCCCATTGTCAATTGTGAACCTGTCCTGACACAGCTCAGAGCCATTCCCACACATCCTGTCGCTGGAGATCAGCACCTCCCTCTCCACATCCCTTGGGAAGCTGCAGGGAGCAGTGAGGTCACTCCTCATCCTCTGTTTCTCCAAACTGGACAAACCCAGAGTCTGGAGCTGTTCCTCACAGGGCATTCCTTCCAGCCCTTTCACCACCTTTCACCTTGTTGCCCTCCTCTGGACACATTTGAGCACCTTAACACCTTACCTGAGATAACTCAGGAGGCAGAAGAGATAAGAGAGTACAAATGAGTGTGAACTGAAGTAGCTGCATGCAAGTTTCCTAGATAGGGAAGCAGTGGACCAAATGTTTCAGTTGTGATAAAGCAGACTGAAAATAAGTGTTTGTTTTGTGAAATTGAGATGTGTAAGAGTCCGTGGAAGAGACACAGAACAGCATCAATCGTTAGTGCTCCTGTAGCTGTGGAAACAGGGCCTTTTAATAGACCTTATTTTCATTTACTAAGGGTACTCTTCCAATCTTCCATCCTTTCAGCTTGAAAAATTAATTCCATTGTATCAATCAATACACAGTCATCTTAAATTAGTACCAAATAATCATTTTACATTAGCCAATGCCTGAAGGACGTGCAAGATTTTGGGCTCTTGTTGCTTCAGTGACAGTATTGCGTCTCCCAAAGCACAATGCCTCGTCAAGCAGAAAAGGGTGCTATTAACACCTGCCTTCCAGTTCCATTTACCATACTTGGGCTATTGCAGTGCTTAGGGGGAGAAATTAGAATGAATAATTACCAGTTTTTGAAGAGAGTGTTGCTGGCTATGAATTCTTGTTGCCCTTGTTCTGTCTTGTAAACTGTGGCATCTTAGAACAGGTCACTGAATTTATTATCCCTTTTCTGAGAAGAGTTGATCAGTGTAGGCTAGTTCCAGAATTCATAATGTATTGATCCTGTAATTACATTGCAGAGTGGCTCTGGGAAAAAGAGTCCTCTGTCTGGCTGGTATTTCTTATCTTTAATTCAAGAGCTCCAGAGCTGGATAAATACCTATTCTTATGTTTGAGGGATCTTTTTATTATTTTTTTTTATTAAAATAAATGCAAACTATATTGGTGAATAAAGTAAGATTTAACTTATCCAAAAAATGTAAAATGAAAAGAAAGCTTCCTATTCTGCCTGCCAGAACTCAGATGAGGCAGGAATGTTATTTGCATACGTAAAGTGGATTTCCAAGTTAACATGATAGAATGGAGAACCGGTCAGACTATTTGTCAGACTTATCACTCAGGTGGCAAGCAGCAGAGAATTTCTGATTGCTGAGAATGCACTCAATCCTTTCAGTAAGCCTCAGCATCCTTATTTTTTGAGGATGTTCTTTGCTAGGTCTGTCTGTAGATCCTTTTTTTAACTTAAATTCATTGTAGTTCCTAATCTATTTTATTTGTATTCAGCATACTAATTATCTGAAATCTCCTCTGTGTTGAGTATTTTTCTGTGTTATTCAAGCACTGAGGGTTTTATGTGTTGCTCCTGTTCATGGCTGTTCATATCCTATCCTGGATACACAGCTGGTGTCTCACTGAACTATTCTGGCTTTTTCCTAGTTAACTTCTGACCATGGATTTAAAGAGAACATGAAACTTGAGGCTGTGAACCCAGTTGATCCTGAAGAAGTTTGCATTGCTACAGTCACCAAGTTAAAAGATTCATACCTCTGGCTCCAGCTGGAGGGTAAGCTGATTTGGGAGAAGCGAGGAGTGCTTACCCATCACTACACTTGCTTGTAGTGCCATCTCCAAACCTGAGGGGTATTTGGAGCAAGCTCATTCTGTGCAGACTGTGGGCAGCAAAGCACAGTTTCCTCAATGAAATCACAATCAAAACCCACTTGCATTGTCTATTTCCAGTTTGCCTTGGCTGGCACTGCTTATTTAAGCCAAAAATGGCATTTGTGCATTGCAGTGTCAGTGTTGGGCTCAGGCACCGTGCAAAGTGCTGAGCAGGACCTTGTGACAGTTTCACAGATGAGTGACTTGCATTCTGAGCAAGCTTTGGCCAGACCTGGGAAGGAAAGTTTCTTCATTAAGACAGAGTAAGCCTGTGTCAGCTGTTCTCCATTATAATCCCATTTCTTGATTGGAAGTACATCAGCATGCACTTACTATGCACTGTGCATCCCTGCTAAACTGCGGAAGGAAAATTCCCATCTCCATCCTTTAGGAGGAAGCAAATGAGGTCAGGAAAGAATTTGGTCAGAAAAAGGGGATGAATAAATGATTGTTATTGTGTTCCAGATACACCATAAATCAAAGCAGCTTCACTAACAAACGTACAGCAAGCGTTAACCAGATAAGGGGTTTTATGACTTGTTTCAATTTTTCCTTTTCTAAACTGAACAGGCTCCAAGAAACCTGTCCCTGAGTGTATAGTGAGTGTGGAATCAATGAATATATTTCCAGTGGGTTGGTGTGAGACGAATGGATATCAGCTCAGGCCTCCTCGCAAAGCAATAGGTACCAGTTCTCTTCTATTTGCAGTGTTGGGTTAGAGTTGGTGAGCAAATTACTGCAGAATTATTGCTGCCATCACTGAATTTGGAAACATTCATCATGCTCAGAGAATCTGTGTGTTGCACAACTGTCCCTCTGGCTGTTTGGGCCAGTTCCTTCAACAACTCCAAACCTCACAGTGCTGGCTTGAGGCCGCTGCACACTGTAGGGCCCTGTGGGGACAATCCATTGGCCGTAACAAAGAAATCCTATCTGTGTATGAACACCCACCATGCTCTGCATTTACTCCTGTCTGACCTGTTCTTGCCATGTGTCTGACCCTGATACTGATTTTACACTTCACTTGGGCAAAGTAAATGCCACAACAAAACAGTGTGGTGTGTGTGCACATTTTGGAGACAAAATAAAGGGGACTGATTTTCTCAATGGGCCAGCTGGGGATGATCCCTAATGACAAAGTGCTCAAGAGTAAACCCTACCATTTTAACAACACTAGTAGGTAGACTAAGATAGTGTCTTCTCTCAGCTGGTTACTGAGGCATGTTTATTAAAGTTTAATGGGGGCTGGAGAAACTGAAGGATTTCTTGAGTGTTCATTAAGTAAGATAAGAAAATTTTTAGATTTAAATGAGCTGTCATTTTCTGCAAGTCAAAGCAAGAGAAATTAATCCACTTGCACTGCCAAGGACAGATGAGGAAGAAGGGGGATCCTAATTAGATAAAAGATGATTTGAAAACAAAAATCCAGAGGTTTGCCGGGGCCAAAGCCTGAAATTGCTGAAGAGGCATAAAGTTGCATTACCTTGTTTTATTTTACTACCTGACTGTAAAAGCCAGAATTAGCAAGTGGACCCATCACCTAAATGACTGACTTGGTTGCAACAGTGTTTTCCTGCATAGCAATTATCTTAAGTCATTTGTGTTTCTAACCAGCTGATTTCATTCCATTTCAAAGTTAAAGTGTTGAAGTTATCATGCCAATAGAGCGGCACTCTGGGACGAAGAACATAACCTTTGGGTGCTGAAAAAGAAAGCGTGTTATTCCTTTTGGGCTGGTAGTACAGGTGGTTTAGGAGCTCTGATGCAAAGAGGTACAGAAGGTTAGATTTTGTAGAAAACTGGACATATGTATTCTTGGTTTAAAGAATTTTTTTTATGGAAGTTGAAGTAAACCTTCTGGTTTTCTTCAAATTACTTGGGCCAGTGTGCCTCTTGTGCAGCTGGGTCACACTCTGACACTACAGTGATGGGAACACAGATCTTTTTTCCTATGTTACTTAGAAGAGATGAGTCCATTATATGTATATTGTTCTAGATGCTTCATTTGTTTGCCTCTCATATTTTGCTCTTTTTTTCTTCTTTCAGTAAACAAGCAGAAAAAAATTGCAGTAGTTCAACCAGAGAAACAGTAAGTAACAGGTTATTTGCTTTTATTTTTTATTGAGGTTTTTCTCCTTATTTTTCAGTTGGAAAATGTGCTGTGTTAGGAAGATGTAGGTTTGCAAAAGTGCTGTACTGAGTGTTGAGAGATTCCACAGTCCATTTGTGTTAATGCTGGTAGATTCTGCTGATGTTCAAAAAGACACTTGCACTATGGTAGGAGAGGACTGGAAGCTTAGAATTTGGGGGTTTTTTTTTGTAATTGTTTCTTCTCGTATGAAATTTGGCCCAAAGCAGGCAAAAAGAAGGGTTCTACTAATATCTACAATTAGTCTAGAAACTCTGTGTCATGCATGTAGAACTCAGTCTTGTGAGCCTGCTCAGATATGCTCCATGGAATGCTTACAGTTGGCTTTATTGACTCTTACAGCTTTACAAACACCAGAGCTGTCAGTAGTCCTGCCAGTGTTTGCATTGCTCCTAAAATACTGAGCAGACTGTTCCCCCATGTTTTGTAACTGGGATCCTTACCAGAGTACTGGAGTCATTTTGGTTGTATTTTGTTTAAATTCCAGCTTTTTTAGAATGCATAAGCTGAGGCTACACTGCCTTGTGCTGTGAAATGTGAAGTTAAAAGGAGTCAGGGAATGTAAACTCCTGTGGGTAGCTTTGGGAGGTGTTTGTCACCATGGTGGCCCATGGACTTCAAGCAAGGAAGGATTGCTGCTGGCTTCAGCAGGACAGAAGTCCTTTCCAAATGGAATTTGGTAGTTTCTGCATGTTATTATGAAACAGGAGAGGTATAAAAAGCAGGTTAATAAGGCTGAAGCTGAGGAAAAAAATATAATCGTGTTTTAATAATGGGGAGGTGACTGTCGTGACTATGTGTCTGTTTTCCCAACCTCCTTCTTTTCATTTCAGAATTTTGTCTTCAAGGACAGTTCATGATGGACTAAAGAACCAGGAATTGAACTCTTCTGACTCAGGTATTGATCACAAAGGTCAGGCTAACAAAGGCAATATCCTCTAAGCACCTGCTCAACCCTGTTAGGAGAGGGAAAATTAGGAAAGGGTTTGGAGATTTTCATCCCTTGATGATTTGTTGAGCTTCAAAAATGAATGAAACAAACAAAAACCTGCAGTTACTTTTGTTCTGCATTTCATAGGTGCATTAAACCTGGAAATCAGATTTTTACACCAGCACATTACCCGTTCAGCAGAGAGGATATGTGGAGCTGATACTGTGACCTGTGCAAGTGACCTTTTATTGTCACCTGTTACATTTGATAATGTGGGAGAAGCAGGTGTGCTGTATCTGTGCTCAGAGCTGTTGGATTCTGGCTTTGGGAAGCAGATTTCTCTGGTTTTTATGTTAACTGCATCATGGTGATAAACAAAACCAATTCAAACAGTAAACTGCTTTGTGTGCCAGATGGCAAAATCTAATAATTTTCTAAACTGTTGCAAGAAGGAATGTGATGAATAAGTACATCTGCTGGTGAAAGTCACACAGATCCATCCATTTGGCAACACAGTGCCTCCTCTGCTGTTTTCTCTACAGTGAAGTGCACATCTGAAGCTTCACCAAAAGCAAGATAAAAATGATGTGTGCTTGTTTATCATTTTAATCGGCTTTTAATAGAGTCATAAAGTAAATTTGACTTCATTTCTTGATCTGCCAGTTTTCAGCTGCTGAATTTAAAGTCTTTAAGTGATAGTGTTGCTCAATCAAGAAAAAACTACAATACTGCTGGGTAAAACAACATTGGTTTTGAACATAAGTGTATTGCAATATATGTTAATACTTGAATTTTGAGCAATACTGAACCATTAAATATATTTAGAGAGCTGATGTCCCTTCATCAAAGGTCAGTTTATCAGTTGCTGCATCTTCTGTTTGCTAATCAAAGGAAAATAATCTAAAAATGCAAAACAATGTGATGCTGCAGTTTAGGATAAACAGTGGAGAAAAACTGACAGTTTCTCTTGTGCCAGAAGTTTGGGGGAGAGAAAGCTGACTGGAAAATTTATCAGTAATTGCTGTGTAGGAACTGCTTCTGCTACCAAAAATTTGGGATTGTCTTTGTTGTTCTCAGTGGTGTGATACCATGAAGCAGCAGCAGACTAGCCAGGAAGGAATGTTTCTTTTCTGATACATGACCATCTTTATTTACTGCAGCTTGACAATTTGCAAGCACGGGTGTGAAGTATGAAAAATGTTTTGGCAACGTTGGAATAACTAATGGTGCCATTGCAAACGTGGCACAGAAACTACCTCAAATCCCTGTCATTCAGGACTTTTCCCCCTCCTTGTTTTGCTGCAGACAAACTGTTACGTAGTGCGAGCTTCTTTCCCGGGGCGCTTGCAGCGTGTGATTTAAACATTTGTTTTCTCATTTCTCACTTCTCAGTGGTAATTAATGGCAAGTACTGCTGCCCAAAGATCTACTTCAACCACCGGTGCTTCTCGGGGCCTTACCTGAACAAAGGCAGGATTGCAGAGCTTCCCCAGTCCGTGGGACCCGGGAACTGCGTTCTGGTGCTGAAGGAGGTGAGCTGGATGGATACACTGCAAAAAGAAATATCTTAAACACGAGGATCTCTCTCTAGTTACAGATGGGTGATTCAGAAATTTAAGCTGATGATGAGTAAACAGTGTCTTTTTGCATATAATAAAGTCTAAAACATGAATGGTTTTATGAATGCCTGATAAGAGTAAAAGCCTCTCATTTATCTAAGTAACACTCAGCCTTCTACTGCTAAATTTTATTTTCTGTTAAAACAGTATAACCTGTAATTACTACAATCAAAGGAGTTAGTATCTTTTTATGGCTGTAATAAATGTTTCCATTTTAATTAACAGAATTTAGCTGGAGATAATCCCAAAATTCCTTTACGGTTTGCACTGTTGATGGTAAAATAGAGGAAATGCAGATTTTCTTAGTCAGAATGGCAAACTACATTCAGTAATTGGGAAATGAAAAGACTTATCTGTGTTTTATAAGTTGGATACAATTTGCATGGATCAGATGAAATTGCAGTTTGGCTTCTTAATGTAGTTGAGGGAGGAGGAGGCCATTCTTTAATGCTAGAGAGCTTCTTCTCCAGAAGGTGTTTCACAGCAAATTTACAGATTCTTTAATGTAATAATTATTTTTCTGAAATTTCAAAAAAGGTCATGAGGTGCTTATTATCTGACCTGAGAGGCTGGAAATTTCCCAAGACATAACTAACTGGATATGCACACTTGAACTATCATGAAATGATCACTTTATATGTAAGAATTGGCTCAACATACCTGGAATTTTTACCTTCCCTACCAAGTATCTTAATGGGGAGAGACCTTGAGGAAAGACTTTCTGGCAGACATGCTGTAAAATAGGAGTCTGGTTGTCAAGAATCAAGCAGATTATTGAAAAAGGTCGATTTTTGCATGCAGAAAAGTACCCTATCCTTCCTGCCCATTTCAGTACTTTAATGTAAGAATGGCAAAAAAACAAATGTGAAATTCTGTGGCAGCTTCATTTTATCTTGAAGGTTTACTCTGCTTCATTGCCTGAAATCAGAAAGAATGCACAAATCCTGCTGATGTGAAGGTGCTGAGTGGTGCTGGAAGTTCAGCCAGTGTTGCTCAGTTGTGTTGATTTCAGCTGTGGGTCTTGCTCACAGTATGAATCCTAGAGAGAGTTTGGTGCTTGCATTATGTGTAATACTTTTCTTTGATTTCTGGACTACTGTGTTAGTAACAATAAAACTGCGAATTTGTAATGTCAAGGTTGTTATGCACCCAGTTGGGAATGATTGGAATAAGCACATAGTGAGCATAAAAAGTACAATTAGACTGCACATTTTGTACTATCCCCCTCTAACTTCAGGTTATTCACAACTTCCAAGTTACTTTACAGTACCCGAGAAATTATCATTTTATTAAAATACAGATCTTATCATGGTTTGTGGAAGCAAAACAGATGAGAGATTAGGATTCTGCACTGTTTTTTTTGTAAACAGTAGGTTAGCAGGCAGCAAAATCCTGCATTTTTTGGCACGTCTTTACATGACATACAATCTTTAAGATAATCGCTCAGATTTAGCCAAGGTTATGCAAGTTTGGGAGTACTGAGCCTCAGGCATTAATTTAGTGATGTGTAATTCAAGGGCAATGGCTTGGAAATTGCTGGATACACTCGTGACTCTGCAGACAAATTCTGAGGGTTCGAAGGCCCAGAGTGTCGGCTGCTCTCAGTGTTCGTTTTGGCACTGTCAGGACGTGTCTGTAATCCTGCTGTGAATGAGAGCTTTGATGCTAGATAATTTGGATGAATAGGAGTAATTTCCTATTCTGCCCTGGCACTTTAAAACAGATTTATTGTACAAATAACTTACACATGTTTCCTGCTCTTCCCTCCCGCACTGTAGGTTCTCACTTTACTGATCAATGCCGCCTACAAACCCAGCCGTGTCCTGCGAGAGCTGCAGCTGGATGAAGAGGCTGCGTGGCATGGCCATGGAGAGACCCTAAAAGCCAAGTAAATTCTTGTCCTGTTCCCTGTCTCGTCAGTCCCAGTAGCTGTTCTCTGCAGTCTGTGCTTGAACTTGCATTTCAGGGAAGGAAAAATCGCTTAGAGCATATCAAGATGCCAACTGCCATTAAATGTTAAATTCTTCATAAATTTCTTTATGAATTCTGGTGGAGTGCATGTGATTTTAATGCTCCATAATATGGCAGTGTACTCTGCTACAGGCATGTGAGCAGCTAGAGGCTGGTGTGGCACTGGTACAACACTGTACTGACAGACAGACGACAGACACGTGGGTGAGGTTTAAGATTCTTTAATTCACCTGAAGATAATTGTCAGTTTTTTAAAGCAGAAACATGTGCTGCTTGGGAAGCTTCTCAAGCATTTCCACACATATTTCTTAGTGGAAAAAGATTGTTCAGAAATAAAGTTAGAAGCTTTGAAATGGTCTGACATGGATGTCTTTCCACAGCAGTCTACCCTAAAGCACTCCCAGTTTTCCTGCTGAGCTTTTTGGGTTGAAGCTTCTTTGCAGGATTACTTTTACAGCTAGGAAAAAAGCAGTGAACATATTTGCATATATTTGATAAATCCAGATATTTCTTTATAGTCTGGGGATGGTTTTGTAATTAGGTCACTGTGTTTGCATATTAGAGATTAGATTTTTCCCAATGTGCCACTGCACGCTTCCCTACATAATTTTGAACGTGTCAGTAATTCTTTTGTTGGATCAGTTTCATGTATAAAAAGACACCTTTCCATATATTGAAGGATTGCTCTGAATTGGGCAATAGGAAGATGACAAAGGTTAGTGTAAATAGAAGGTGTAGCTGAGAAATAAAGAACAAAATATTTGTTTAGTCTCGCTGAAGTTGCTGTTTGCTTTCTTTTGCCACATAGTGACACCAGGGGTATCTGGACTACGATCATTCAGCTGTTTTTTTCAAGGTATTAACTAGGAACTTGCAGGCCTGAAACATCTCTGGTAGATATCAGCACATGCTTGTAGCTGTGCTGGGAGAACAAAGCAGAAATGCTGAGCAGCTCTGGCAGATATTGCACAGTGCAGCTCATTCAGTGTAATGGCAAGCTTGGTGAAAAAGGAATAATTTCTTTTTTTAAATCAAACGGGAGCAGTGTGCAATAATAATCAATCAGGAGTCATGCAATAAGTAACTGTCCTAGGGAATTGTTCAGCTGTTGGACAAAAGCTGACTGGAAATGTGTCAGTGGTCCCCTTGCCTCCATAGGAGCACAGAAAGGCTCACCAAAAGCTGTCTGCTGATACCTGAATGAGCCCAGTGGGTGCTCTCAGCCTTGGTTTGGGGAGCCAGCTGTCCATGTCACAGTGGGCATTTCTGCAGTCCCATAAAAGCAAAGGGAGAGCAAACCATCTGTGAACAAAGAAAACAAAAGATCTGAACTCTGGGACAGTCCTCTCAGATAATGTTTTGTAGTTGTTGATGGAGCAGTGTTGCTGTGTTTGGTACTGCAGCCACCTCTGTGTTGGATTTTCTTTATTTGGGGATCTGACATAAGAGACAGGAGCTCCTGTTTCCTGGACTTGGCAGCCCATAAAGTTCATCATTGCTCATATTTTTTTCTCAGTTTGATCTCAATATTCTTGTACACCTTTAAATGAAGTCCTTTTATTCTGGTAGGCAGAAGATTCCTAACTGTGCCTGTATTTTCAATGTTAGATACAAAGGCAAGAGCTACCGTGCGACTGTGGAGGTGGTGAGGACGGCGGATCGGGTGGCGGATTTCTGCAGGAAAACATGCATCAAGCTGGAATGTTGTCCAAACCTCTTTGGCCCTCAGATGGTGCTGGATAAGTGTTCAGAGAACTGCTCTGTCTTGACAAAGACAAAATACAGTGAGTAGTAGATCCATACCAAGGTGAAGTTTGGAGTGTGATGTTTTAGTTTCTTTTGGCTTTGACTCCAGAAGGAGCAGCTCAAGCACTACATAGAGAGGCCTGCAAAATATTCGTGTTCCAGTGTGTAGAGGAGAAAAAATTAATTCTGTATTAAGTGGTGGAACCGTGGCTTAACTTCTGTCATGTGCTTAAAACTTTATCTTTTGAAAACAACTTTTGAGACAAGAGCTGACTAATGTAATTTAAGCGACAATATAAATTGCTCTTACCAATTTGTTGTAGGGAAAAGAGATGCAACATCTTCAAGCTCTTTTCTTAGTTTTCAGGATTTTTACAGACTGGATTTAACCATTTGACACTGTGAGAACAAACAGTGCATTGAGGCCATGTTTAAAAACTACAAATCATCATATAAAGCGCCAATAAATTGAACCAAATCTTTAATAGTTTTTGTATAAAAGAGGATCATTTGGGGGCTTCCCAGATAAGGAGGAAGTAAATTTTTACAGGGCAAACAAAGTTGGTCAATAACTCTTTTTTCTTAAACCAAATTCAAGTGGAAAATACAGACATACTGATTTTGAAGTTTTGCAGAACTGGGATTCCTATTGGGAAGTGTCATTCTACTGATTTTCCAGTCCTGATGAGGGACAAACATAACTAGTGATACTGAAGGTGCATTTCAACACTGCTCTGTTCTTCTGTCTGGTAGCACACTATTATGGAAAGCGGAAAAACAAGCGGATAGGTCGGCCCCCAGGTGGCCACAGCAACCTGGAAGTAGCCATGAAGAAACCAAATAAAAGAAGGAAGAGACGAAAACATTTCTTTGTTCATAAGAAAAAACGTTCTTCTACGTCCGTGGATAACACTCCAGCTGGATCTCCCCAGGTAGGACCCTGCCAGCAGTGCTCATAGATCTGAGATGTGATCTTTGACTGCTTCATTTGAAACAGCAAACATCAGTTCCTTGTAACTTCAGGGTTACAGCTGCCTCTTCTTCTTCTTTCCTAACTGTTCAGGGCAGTGGGGCAGAAGAGGAGGATGACCAGGATGAGGTTGATGAAGAGTCTCTGACTGAGGACAGCACCTCAGAGCACCAAGATGAACTGCTTGAAGAATCAGAGGTGTCAGAGAAGAAATCCTTGTCGTCATCTCCCACCCAGAGCGAACTGTCCCATTCCCTGGCTCAGGACCGAGACAAGCGGAAGAGGAAGCTCAGGACCTTTTCCTTTTCTGACGATGAAAATAAACCTCCTTCGCCAAAGGTAACTTGGAATGTAGATTTCTGCCCTGGCTTGTTCCCTGCTGAGCAAGCACCAAAATCTGGGGAGTATTAACCACAGTATTCTCTGTTACCCTGCGAAGGGCATTGTGAAAACTTCAGAATAATTGAAGTCCATGATTTTTGTTATGGTTGTGTCATAGACTGCAATAAAGATGGGTATATCAATACCCATGTGTGATATTTTGTGAATTCTTTTGGCTTGTCTAGGACATAAAGATGGAAGTTGCTGAAAAGCTGCAGCTGGACAGTAACCCTCTGGAATGGAGTGTAGCTGATGTGGTACGATTCCTCAAATCCACCGACTGTGCTCCGCTGGCGAGGATTTTCCTTGATCAGGTATCATTTCCTGTCTGTTAAATGTTGAATCTGTCACTTGGCTTTTTATCCTCTAAAGAGTTGGAAAAAGAATTTTTTTTTTAATAGGGTTCTGAGGAAACAAACACTTGTGTAACCTGCAACAGTTTGAGAGAGTTCAGGGAATGACCAGAATTTTTCAGGTTTCTCACTACTGAGGGGAGAATATTTTGGTCTGCAGAGCATCTGAATCCTATAACTACAAATAATGCCTGCAACAAAGCACCATGACAAGAGTCAACATTTTATTTGCTTCTTGATTAAAATTTGCCATAAAACCAGTGTTAAAAAGTAAAACTAATAGTTAGGGTGGTTTATGATGGTGGAAGTTCCAGATATACTTCACCTCTATTTTTATAGAAAGATGCAGTAGTTGGTTAAAATTACTTTCTTCATGAAATTTCCTGGGTTTCTTTTGTTGGGTTGTATTTTTTACAATAGAATCTCCTGAGACTCTGTACCTCAGTGGATTTGAGCTGGCATTTTAAGAAGCAAGTTAATTTGTTGTGTGTGAGAGAGATTTTTAAACTGCATGGGGGAGCATGAAAGAAACATCTAATTCACAAATGGTCACAAATCTGAAATTATAGCAAGTCAAAGCTGAAGGAGCAGGGAGAATAACAACAAAGTCACTGTGGAATTTTTGTGTTCTGACAGGAAATCGATGGCCAGGCACTGCTGCTGCTGACCCTGCCCACTGTTCAGGAGTGCATGGACTTGAAGCTTGGACCAGCTATTAAACTCTGCCATCACATTGAGAGGGTCAAACTTGCCTTCTACCAGCAGTTTGCAAACTGAGGAGCAGCCAAGTTGAAGTGGACCTTTGAAGCACAACTACAAAAACATGCTCCTTCCTCTCTAGCAAGTAAAGCCAAATGAACTTTAACTGAGGCCCTGGTGACCTAAAAGTGTGTGTCAGCCTCATTTTTTTCTATTTCAACAGAAGGAAGACAACATCTGGAGCAAAATGCCAATGCAAACACAGGGGCTACTCTACCAGCTGCCAGCTCGGGAACACAATAGTCTCTTGCTCTATGGTTCCCTTTTTTTAATGTATTTTTTAATGATTACAGAAAAGTCTCCTCTTGTGGGAAACGACATTTCAATAGTTCTGTTGGCACGAAACTTTAAAAGGAGGAACGGATCCTGTTTACGTTCGCATGTAGGCTGCCAGAAATAAACTTTCTGTTCCTGATGTTTCACAGAATCCCCTTCCCTCCCTGTGGACAAACACTTGCTTTACCACAGCACTGACTTTGGAATGTGTTCTTTGCACATTCGTGTGTTAATGTTGAGATTTTTAATGAATTTGTTCATTGTTAGGACAACAATGTGGCCACAGGGTTCTGAATGTACAGTATAGCAAGAGTGTGGTTCCTTTTGAAGTTTTTGTTTGTTTGTTTGTTTTGGTTTGTTTCACTGTTGTTGGTTTTGCTTTTGTTTTTACTACCTCTGTAGCCTGAACAGTAGAAGCGATGAACTAAAAAGGGAGGGAGCTGTTCTTTTTGGGCACATGGTCTGTGGCTGCACAGCAGTCTCGCTTCTGTGGGCATGTCCAGAGTGCAAACCAATGTCAGCACACAGAGCTTCTGTTCCAAAGCTTTAGCTGAAACTTCTGTAGGCATAACCTGGATGTTTCCTTTTTTCAGATGTCAGAAAACTTAATTATTTTGCACTTCTCTTGCAGGCAGGCTGTAGGACATAAGGAAGGAAAGAGAAAGTGCCTCTGCATTTTCTGTATTTGGGTTATCAGATTTTTATTGGGTTTTTTGTTTGTGGTTTTTTTGTTTTTTTTATTGTATTGTATTTGAATTTACTTCCTTTTTCTTCTAGCAAACAATTGGGCCATGTATATGGGGCCTGTCAGCAGACTTTTGCTTTGCTACCTGAACATCTATTTAGAGAATACACTAAGGAAACTGCAATCAATAGAGGGCTGCAACATAGCTCTGCCAGTGTATGCATTCTGGAAACTCTTAGGAGCTTGACTTTGTATTTTTAACTATCTACAGATGCTCAGGATCAGACTTGATGAAAATTTGGTGGGTTGGCAAGGGATTTGTGTGCTTTTATTACAGAAAAGGAAAAAGACCAGTGGGATATCTTAGTTCCATCACAACTAAGACCATCAGAGTAGACTCACAGTAGGATGAACTGCTGATTTTAATTTTCCAGGGTAATAAAACCCAATCAGCCACGTGCTGTAGGGCAGTGTTTTACACTTTGAGCAAGAGGGCTTACATTACTTTCCATTATAGGTGTGGGGAAACTCACATCAGGCTCAAGATCTACATCAAATAAGTGTTGAGTTTCAGCTGGCTTGCATTCATTCACTCTGCTTGTTCTCAGAGTGTTTGGAGGAGCATAGGCAGGAGCTGGATGTGTGCAGCTCTGCCCCTTTATGTCCTAGTCAAATCCATCTCTGCAGGAAACCCCTGCCCTACAAAAGCATTTGAGTTAGGAAGGTGCCTGCTGCAGGAATCAGTTTCGGAAAGATGCAGTTTTAATGAACAGGGTCTACTCTGGTCAAATGGAATGATTCAGGTGTCCCTTAGGCCCAGTGTGACTGGCCATTCCAGAGCTGTGAGCTGCAGGATTCAGCAAGGATGTGGTCTGTAGGCTAAGAGCTGAGTTGGCACAGCCCATGACTGTACCTGACACGTTGGTGTTGAGGGGGAGCTTGCTCCAGTGAACACTGCGGGCACTAAGCCAAGCTCAGTAACTGGGGGTTGTTGCTTTTGCCCCTTAGAATAACTGCCTAGTCAAGGCAGAACTATTGGCACAAGTATTAAAATAAGATTTTTTTTTTTCATTCCAGAATTGAAATGTAAATGTCAGACCATTTATTGGCTGAATATTCCTGAGGGAGGGGCAGTGTGACACTAGGACAATGTTTCTCCCACATTGTAAGCAGAGTGCAAAGACACAATTAAATTGAAATCAAAGTGTCGCTTTTTCCTCCTTACACCAGATATGTGGCCAATAAATGGATGTTTTGGCTCTTCATATTATGCTTAGATCATTTGCCTGTACTCCAGTCCCTTAGGACAAGCTCATTCATAAGCCATTAGGCTTGAAAAAATTTCTAAAGAAATAGTGCTGCTTTGCTGTCAGCATCTTGTCTTGAGAAATTTAACCAGCAGAGAACTTCTGGGCTGGAAGATGATGCTTTTGGGTCAGTGCAGTAGAATTCCCAGAGTTCTGTTGTCCTGCTGCCTGGCAAGATTGACCTAACCAAGAGATGTTGCTTCCACCTTTCCCCATAGACAGATAGATGTCTTTTTAAGTAGTTGTCAGGAGAGAAGAGAGCTGAACATGTAATTTAGTGGACCTGTTAACATGGTGCCTGGGGTTTAAAATACAAATGTCATACTTCCTTTTCTCAGTAAATAAAGCAGTCAGCAGTTTCAGCCATTAGTGGGATACTTACTGGTCACCTTTGGCATGTTTTATAGGCTGGATTTTTCTGCCTTGTTTTGGGAGGCACTGACAGTCTGGTCCCAATGGGATCTATTTTTGTTGAGATTTTCAAAAGGGATGTTTTCATTGTTTGTGAAATGTTTTTATGCTGCACACGGGTACTGTACACTCTGTTTCCTGGAAAAAAATGCACTCTGTTTTATTGCTGGATTTAAAAGGGATACTTGGGGCTTTATCTTGATGGATGGTGTTTCTACTTGACTCTGTTTCAAATTCCTCTTTCTCTATGTGTGGCAGATGACACAACTGCACTTACTTGTTCATCTTACTCCAGTACGACTTGAAATGAGCTCACGCGCTGCTTTAGTCACTCTGTTTCTTCAAAACTGGATTTGTGTAGCTGGTGGCTGAATCTTGGATTTGGGTGACAGCAATCTTTCACCACCAGAAATCACTGGGACTGCAGTAATTTAGGGTTCAGGGCTTGTGCTGTCCTCTAGCACCATACAGTACAACAAAGCTGGAATCCAGGAGAAAGGCACTGATGTCCTACAAATGTCTCCAGTACAAGAAAATGATCTCTCCACTGAGCCTTATGTACTGGTAATGTGGCTGGTAACAGGAGTTTGCCCTTGGATTGACCCACTGAGGGTTTGTGTTCTTGCTTCTCGTATTTTCATATGCATTGTGCAGTCTTGGGTTTGCACATCACAGCTTTAGAAATCTGGTGGTGCCATTTTGACTGTACTAAGCTTAGCCTTGTTAGGCAGGAAGATTTTGTTGGATCACTGTTGTGTGCTTTCTGCACCAACTCAAGGATTCTGTAACAGAGAAGTATTTGACCTCCAAAAATGCCATGGAGGTCTAATGTGGTAGAATTATCCCCAAAGCACAAGCAGCTTGCAGTCCATCCTAAACTGAAAGCAGTCCTTCCAGGAGAAGAGAGGTACAGCACTGACCTTGGTGAATGAAGACTACTTTTTTCCTAACTCTAAACATTTTTGAAAGTTCCTCTTTGAGGAATGAAATAAAAGGCAGATTAATTTCTGTACTGTATAGAACTCCAGGTCTGCAGCCTCTCCTGGGATTAATGGAAACAGTACATACAAAGTTCAGGAGTGGTTTTAAAGATTACATTCTCTGTCGCAACTTTTAGCAGTATTTTGTTGTTGTTTTAGGATTTGGTAGTGTTTGTTCTTTATTCCAGTGATGCTTTAAAGGAGGGAAGGAGTATTTAGCTGCTAGGTCCACAGAAGTGTAAGTATATTTACAGTTGATTGGACTGAGCACTCCATTCTTCTGTATGAAGTACAAAGCCTTGGTACTTTTTTAGCAGAAAGCCCAGTGGCTTGTGAGATTTTTGAATGTAATGGAATAGGCTTCAAAACTATCGAGCTCGAATTGGAGACTGGATACCTTTGGACCAAATCTCTTGTTACTAGATGAAGTAGCCTTACCAGAAAGCCAAAAATATGATCCTGTACAAAGCTACTCCTTTAACCAGTCCTGTCACAAAGTGTCAGCCTGGTTGCTGCCTACTGTGAGCTCAGATTACCTAAAAGTAACTAAGCACAAAGACATAGGCTCGGTCAGGAGACTTCAGATGTAGGATGAAGGCTCCCCTTCCAAGGGATTGTGTGCCGACCCCTTGTTTCAGAGTGCTGCCGCCCTTCCCCAAGCATGCATGAGCCTTGTTTTCAAGGGCAGCCTTCTGGGTGAAGGATTGCAATGGGACTTGGGAACACCAGAGACAACAAGCCTCTTATTGTTGTAAAACCAAAATGCTAATCTGTTTGAAACCCAATGAAAACAAGTTAAGATTAGTGATACTTTGTCTCCATGGTCATTTGTAGCTTCCTCGGCATGGTATCTGTTCTGAAATGCACCAGACATGAAAGTGAGAAGATGAGATTTTGATGAGAAGTTGCTCTGTTCAGGTGCCCAGCCAGCAGTGTTTGGCTCAGCTTTAAGCCATGGAAGCGAGCAGGTCTTGCACTGACAGAGTTCCAAGGCAGTGGGTCTGAGTGACTTAGCACAAACAATGGGAGCCCTGGCCTGGCACAGACCGGGGGGAGCAGCCCTGGGGCTTGGGGACAGCTCATGGCACGGAGTCAACTCTGAGCTCTGGGCACAAAGGAATTCTCACCCACTCTGAAAGTTGTTGAGCACCAGTTTCCAAGAAACCTCATGGCAAAACAAAAAACAATCTGGAGGTGTCATGTTTCTCCTCTCTATTTTTTTTTCTTTTTTTTCTTTTCCCCCCATGATTTCTGTTTAAAATAAATTTAAAATAATCTCTATAGACAATCAGAGGTCTTCTAGGAGTCTCTACCCAAAAGGGTGCCAGCTCCACACTTGTGGGCCTCTTTCTTATACTAACTCATTGGAACTGATGCACTTTTCCTGTATTTTGCCTTTTTTAATTAGCTGCTTGTTCTTAAACAAAGATTTAAATGCATATTGTGTTGTGTCCCTTCTGCTTGTTTTATCTTTCTTTAACTTTTAAAAGAAAATATATATATGCAGTGAGACTGAAGTACTACATGGAAGAGAAACATGCACAAGAAAATATGCCTATTAAGTCCCACCATTGTTTGAGCAGGTGTAACAATTTAATCAGAGGATTTTTTTAAAAAATATTTTGGATGGATATTTTACTTGTTTTGTCTGTAAATAGTGTACAAAAGTTTGTGTTATATGACAATTTTAAGTGGTTGTAAGAAAATTAAAAAAGATACTTAAACTGTTACTGATGGCTTTGGTGTTAATATCATCATAAATGCTGCTGCTGACCATGAGCAATTTTCCAGCTTGGAAAACTGTGGAAAGCTGTCTGGCATGTTCCATGACTTGCATAAAAGGTAAATGCAAGCCACATAAAAATACCACTTGGAGAGGCTTCATGTTAGACCTTGATAGGGTTTATTCAGTTCCCTCAAATGCAGGAGTCCTCTTTATCAAAGCTTCTTCTAAGGTAGAGGTTTTGTTTCACGGGGTGCTGAATCCAGTTAATACACAGGAGCTGAGTACAGGACCTACAAATTGGAGTAATTTTCTTTCACTGCCTTATTGGAACTTTGGAAGTTGCTTGATGCAATCCGCTGCAAACCTTGTAGGTGCTGCAGCTCCTTCTGGATGGTTTTGTAAAGGTTAGCGCTACAGCAGCAAGCTGAAATTTTAAAACAGGCTGGTTTTGCTTCCTCTGAATAACATGAGAGTCCACAGGATGCTTCAGAAACAACTTTGCCTTGCAAAGTTCTTGTTTCCTTACTTGGAATTCCAGCAGATTGTACTCAGCCCTTGTTTCTTGGCTGCACTTCTGTTACCTTGAGCTGATTTAACACTGGGTGCAAAAAATGCATAGGAGTGGGATGAAACTGATTTGCTTAACACTGTCTTTAGACCTCTATAAATATGTAGGATTTAACATAAATCTTCTACTTGCCTTCACAGAGCACTGTCTGCTTGAGAGAAATCTGAAGGCTTGTGAATAGCACATAGCAGGAGGCAGTGATTTGTCTGCCACAAGTTTCAGAAGGGCTTATAGGAGTCATGTTGAGAAGAAACCCTTGAAGAGGTATTTTGGGGAAATGATCTGTTTTTAAGCATGGAATATGTAGTAACATGAGGCATAAGCTCTTTGAGTTATGTTTCCTGATTCATGTCTGAAACACAGGTTTTGTGTGTAAATAGCATTAGGTAAATCTTTAACCAGTGTTGGGGTCCAGGTCAGGTATGTGTGTGGGATCTCTAATGTTCAGCAGCAGCTGTGAAAGCTGAAAAACCACCCTGGGCTACAAGCAAATAGGTCAAGTCCCGCTTGCAAATGCAGTTCCTGGTGGCTGTTACCACTGCGTGCAAGGGAGAGAAAAAGCAACCTGCTTCAGTCCCTGTGTCTTCTGTTAGGTAACAGAGCTCTTGCTTTGGCAGCTCAGAGCAGAAGAGTGTTGACCTGGGGCCAGAGCATTTTGGGCAGAACATTTTGGCTGTGTGCTCTCTAGGTCAGAGAGCTGAGAGAATTTATTTTCCTAGCTGCAACTTCCAAACATTTATGACACAGCCTAAAAAACAGAGAAATCACTGTTGTGTGCCAATACTGTTTGGCATCACCTGCCAGGAGGGACAGTCACGTAGGTAGGTTTGCAATGTAGACACAACAAATGTTATTTAAAGAACTATTGATTCATGTGCTTGGCTTTGCTTTCTGATAGCCTTAAACATGTGCTTTCTGGGTCATATTTATAACTGAATTCTTATTTAGACCGGGATTTTAAATTATTTAAAGAAATTAAAGAAGTTGTGTAAGAAAGCAATACAATGCAACATGACCTGGGTTGATCCCACACAAAAATAAAAAGCTACATTTGGTGCAGTTCTGTCTGGTGAGGATGAAGAGGGGTACAGCACAATGAGGCCAGTCAAGGCTCACTGGCCAATAGGTCCAGTTTCACAGTTTTTCAAATGAAAGTGCTGACATGTTTTGTTAAATCTGTTGGGCCGGGGGTTGCCCTTTTCCAAGGATGAAACATTTTTGCTAAATACCCCAGGTCATACTTTCTTCTTTCTAGGGTGATAGCAGCCCTGCCTGACCCTGTGCGGTCTGGGCTAAGCAGAGTCTCGGGTGCTGTGGTTCTGACCCGGGGATTCCTCGGGGCTGTGGTGCGTTTTAGAAATGGGGGTGGACGCTGGAGCCGGACGGTGTTCGGATGCTGGAGCCAGGCAGCAGCAGCACCGGACACTCCTCTGCCGTGCTCCTCAGCGGGCAGCCCTGAGGCCGAACCCTTGCTCCCGGGGACCCGGGGTCGGACCCTGTCCCGGTGGCTGTCGGTGTCCCGGGCGGAGCGCTGAGGGC